GTAGTTTGTCTGCAGCGAGCGTTTTGGTAGAAACTGCGCCTCCCATTCATTATAATGGTAAATGACCACAGACAAGTGCGCACACCATCGTTGAACCTTGAGTGTGACGCGATCGGGAGGGAGAGGCGGTTGTGTTGGGGGCGGCGTGACACAGCTCGGGCCCGCCAGTGCCCCAACGGGGCCCTAGTTATTATTTTTCCTCCGCTTTAAACTGGAAAATGGCCCACTTCCCACTGGCGAAAACTCAGGAAATTTGGCAGGACGACCGGGCCTGGTGAAAAATTCGATATTCTGAAGTCGCCCAAACAATAAAATGCAAAATGGCTCCATAGCGCCCCCAATGATGAAAATTCACACTATTGACTGTCACGGCTGTACGCTTTGTCATATTGACACAAAAATTGACACACACATGTATCTCAATAAGATCTACAAAAAAGTCAGTGCGGGCGTATCTGTCAAATGTACGGTTAAAGGGTTATTGCGCATTTTTTGCCGATCCGCACACATTGGAATTTCGCTAACTCCTCCGAAAGCTTTCGTTCCACCGGCACCACATTTGCTCAGGCCAATCTACACTCCATGGCCATTCAAAGTTGTACAAATCATGACGCTGCACCCCACGGTTTAGGTTCTAGGGGGCGCCAAAAATAACCCAAAAATCCACATTCTTAAAAGTTTTATAACTTTTTTTTTTTGTCCTCACTGGCCTCCAAGTTTTCTAGGATGATGCAATGTCCAGCCATCAACACATTTGTGAAGGAATTTTTACTCCCCAAAAGAGCGCCCCCCCATGGCAGGACAAAAAAGTCAATTTTTTCTTGTCCCCTAAGGTGAAAATACACATTGTTGAGATTCACGCCTGTACGCTTTGTCAAAATGACAAAAAATTTGACACACACGTGTATCTCAATAAGATCTACGAAAAAGTCAATGCGCACGTATCTGTAAAATGTACGGCTAAAGGGCTATTTTGCATTTTTTGCCGATTCGCACACATTGGAATTTCGCTAACTCCTCCTAAGGCTTTCGTCCCACTGACACCAAATTTGCTCAGGCCAATCTACACCCCATGGCCATTAAAAGTTGTAAAAATCATGACGCTGCACCCCATGGTTTACGTTCTAGGGGGCGCCAAAGAGGACCCAAAAATCCACATTCTTAAAAGTCTTAGAACTTTTTATTTTTGTCCTCACTGGCCTCCAAGTTTTCTAGGATGATGCAATGTCTAGCCATCAACACATTTGTGAAGGAATTTTTACTCCCCAAAACAGCGCCCCCCCATGGCCGGAGAAAAAGTCAAGTTTTTCCTGCCCATCGCTCAATGGCTCAATCGCATCGCTCTCCAGGCAACACCGTAAGGAGGAGCAACCTGCCATTTGGATATATCCTAGCTGTGTTTGTGCCTTCACTCATGGTCCAGACTTTTTCAAATAGGACATGAAGTTTGTCTGCAGCGAGTGTTTTGGTAGAAACTGCGCCTCCCATTCATTATAATGGTAAATGACCACAGACAAGTGCGCACACCATCTTTGGACCTTGAGTGTGACGCGATCGGGAGGGGGAGGCGGTCGCGCTGGGGGCGGCGCGACGCCGCTCGGGCCCGACAGTGCCCCACCGGGGCCCTAGTGTTATTATTAGGGCCCGAGCGTAGCTGCTAAGCAGCTGCGAGAGCCCTCTTGTTCCTGATGGATTCTTCTTTCGTTATTTTTCCTCCGCTTTAAACTGGAAAATGGCCCACTTCCCACTGGCGAAAACTCAGGAAATTTGGCAGGACGACCGGGCCTGGTGAAAAATTTGATATTCTGAAGTCGCCCAAACAAAAAAATGAAAAATGGCTCCATAGCGCCCCCTATGGTGAAAACTCACCTGACGCCTGTACGCTTTGTCAAAATGACACAAAATTTGACACACATGTGTATCTCAATAAGATCTACAAAAAAGTCAGTGCGGGCGTATCTGTCAAATGTACGGTTAAAGGGCTATTTCGCATTTTTTGCCGATCCGCACACATTGGAATTTCGCTAACTCCTCCGAAGGCTTTCGATCCACCGCCACCAAATTTGCTCAGGCCAATCTACACCCCATGGCCATTAAAAGTTGTACAAATCATGATGCTGCACCCCACGGTTTACGTTCTAGGGGGCGCCAAAAATAACCCAAAAATCCACATTCTTAAAAGTCTTATAACTTTTTATTTTTGTCCTCACTGGCCTCCAAGTTTTCTAGGATGATGCAATGTCCAGCCATCAACACATTTGTGAAGGAATTTTTACTCGCCAAAAGAGCGCCCCCCCATGGCAGGAGAAAAAAGTCCATTTTTTCTAGTCCCCTAAGGCGAAAATACACATTGTTGAATGTCACGCCTGTACGCTTCGTCATATTGACACAAAATTTGACAATCACGTGTATCTCAATAAGATCTACGAAAGAGTCAATGCGCGCGTATCAGTAAAATGTACGGTTAAAGGGCTATTTCGCATTTTTTGCCGTTTCGCACACATTGGAATGTGGCTAACTCCTCCTAAGGCTTTCGTCCCACTGACACCAAATTTGCTCAGGCCAATCTAAACTCCATGGCCATTCAAAGTTGTAAAAATCATGACGCTGCACCCCACGGTCTATGTTCTAGGGGGCGCCAAAGAGGACCCAAATATCCACATTTTTAAAAGTCTTATAACTTTTTATTTTTGTCCTCACTGGCCTCCAAGTTTTCTAGGATGATGCAATGTCCAGCCATCAACACATTTGTGAAGGAATTTTTACTCCCCAAAAGAGCGCCCCCCCATGGCAGGAGAAAAAAGTCCATTTTTTCTTGTCCCCTAAGGTGAAAATACACATTGTTGAGTGTCATGCCTGTACGCTTTGTCAAAATGACACAAAATTCAACACACACGTGTATCTCAATAAGATCTACGAAAAAGTAAATGCAGGCGTATCTGTCAAATGTACGGTTAAAGGGCTATTTCGCATTTTTTGCCGATTCGCACACATTGGAATGTAGCTAACTCCTCCGAAGGCTTTCGCTCCATCGGCACCAAATTTGCTCAGGCCAATCTACACCCCATGGCCATTCAAAGTTGTAAAAATCATGACGCTGCACCCCACGGTTTAAGTTCTAGGGGGCGCCAAAGATGACCCAAATATCCATATTCTTAAAAGTGTTATAACATTTTATTTTTGTCCTCACTGGCCTCCATGTTTTCTAGGATGATGCAATGTCCAGCCATCAACACATTTGTGAAAAAACACATTGTTGACTGTCACGCCTATACGCTTTGTCAAAATGACACAAAAATTGACACACACGTGTATCTCAATACGGTCTACAAAAAAGTCAGTGCGGGCGCATCTGTGAAATATACGGTTAGAGGGTTATTTCGCATTTTTTGCAGATCTGCACACATTGGAATTTCGCTAACTCCTCCGAAGGCATTCGTTCCACCGGCACCACATTTGCTCAGGCCAATCTACACCCCATGGCCATTAAAAGTTGTACAAATCATGACGCTGCACCCCACGGTTTAGGTTCTAGGGGGCGCCAAAGATGACCCAAATATCCACATTCTTAAAAGAATCCACATTCCCCCCCCCCCCCCCCCCAAGGCAGGAGAAAAAGTCAAGTTAACCCTGCCCATCGCTCAATGGCTCAATCGCATCCCTCTCCCGGCAACACCGTAAGGAGGAGCAACTTGCCATTTGGATATATCCTAGCTGTGTTTGTGCCCTCACTCATGGTCCAGCCTTTTTTCAAATAGGACATGTAGTTTGTCTGCAGCGACCGTTTTGGTAGAAACTGCGCCTCCCATTCATTATAATGGGAAATGACCACAGACAAGTGCGCACACCATCTTCGGACCTTGAGTGTGACGCGATCGGGAGGGGGAGGCGGTCGCGCTGGGGGCGGCGCGACGCGGCTCGGGCCCGACAGTGCCCCACCGGGGCCCTAGTTAAGTTTTTCGCTTGAGCAGCTGAAAATTAGTGAATTAAATATATAAGGCAGCAAACTACGATGCAAAGATCTATCGATTAGCAGGAGGAGTGCCAAATCTGATCCCAGTCAAGAGGTGGAGGCCAGTCGAGCCAGAGCACCAGGTGTACATCACTGTCCTTTGAGGAGGGTGGCACAAAGAACGAGGAGAAGACCTGAACACTTTGGTCCTGGTGAATCTACTTCAGTGCAAGGAGAGGGCAATATGATGTAACATCATCTACCACTGACTGCCCAGAAAAAACAAGGGAAGTATGACTTTATAAGAGACACTCCCAGAATGACTGGAGCACTCGTCCTGAAAGTAACTGTTTTCCTGGTGTTGCTGCTGAGGGACAATGTGTGGAGAGAGACCGAGAGAGAGACTGATGACAACAATGAGGGTGAAGGTCAAACTGGTGCCAGTACAGCTGTGAGAAGAAGAAGTGGGAGACATTGTTATCGCGGGTGAGTACGATGCAACCCAAAACACAATCGACACCACTCCAGACAGAGCTAGAACCCATGCCAACATTCACAGATTATTACAGATTTACAATGAGGTTAAATAGATAATAAAATAAAAAAGTATTTTTTTTATATAGATAATCAGAAACAAGAGAGCCCTACACACTGAGTAGATAGGATATATTGAAGAAAAGGTTCCAGATGAATTTATTACATAGGAAGTGAGATAAATGTTGGAAAGTTGTGTGTGGTAATGTGAGAATGAGAGAGGATGTGAAGAGAAAAGATGTGTCTTAAAAGGTTTTGGAAGTACTGTTGCAGATACGTTTCTAACAAAACAAGCCCCTGGGGGAGGTTTTTCTAAAGCTATGAAGGGTATAAAGAAAAGTTTAAAGTGGAAATGCGGGAGAATGCTGGTAAGGGGGGCGTGTTGATGGACTGAAAGTGGTGAAGGGTAAAGAAAAGTTTAAAGTGTAGATGCGGGAGAATGCTGGTAAGGGGGGCCTGTTGATGGACTGGTTGGTCCAAATTTCAGATGAATGAGAGCCATTCTGGCCCAGCCATGAGTGCTGCGATAGCCCTAATTCTGATTTCCTTTCTCACATGTCGCATCGTACACATCCTTGGGAGACATTGTTGGAAGCTGACGGAGGAGATGGGACTTATGGTGGACCTAACACTGGCCCATGAACTGCAGGAAATGCCACCAAAACAGCTGGCACAGTGTGTGATTGATCAAGGAGGGACTGAGGGACCTGAACGGTTCCTGGACTTTGACGGAGACGAAGATGAGCAATGGACTTTGAGCAACACAAACAACATATTCAATGAGCTGAGATATTGAACTGAACATGTTTCATTCACAGAGTTAAAGGACTACACTAATCACATATTAATCAAGGGGTTTGTCGCAGGTTGCTACAATGTAATGTAATGGTATTATCAGAAGTTGACACTTCTTCTATGCAAATGAAATTATGTCAGCACATCCAGGAAATGGATGGTCGCCAGGGCGCGGGGCCGTAAGATTCTTTCCCTGCTGAAACAGCCGAACAGGGTTTTCAGTCTTACGCGCTGATATAATTTGAAATGATCCAAGCTATGGTATGGTGTTTAGTGTTTGATATGATGATTAGGTTTTTATGAAAGTAAGAACTTTCAAAGGGGGGACTGTGTAGGGGAATGTCTTCATACATTTAGGTTAAGAAATATAGAGTAATTATCTTTTAGTAAGAAGCTACAAATAATCTAGGTTGGCCTGCTCTTGCTGCCCCACGACCATGAGATTGTAAGCAAGGCTGTCTTGCAGGAGTCTGAATTATCTGTCTGTTGGAACATGTAATCTCTGCCAGGGTCAAGACGAACCTAAACAAAGTGTCGTGGGGCAGACATGTCATCGTGAGGGGCCTTCTGGAGAAGTCACATATACACACATACACACACACACACACACACACACACACACACACACACCTAACAGCATAAAAGAGAGTAGAAGTAAAGCTAGGGAGGCTTCCTTGGGTCTTAGTCGAGACTCTGTTTGTCATCTGTACTGATTTCTACATCTGTACTATTAAAGACGCCCCAGGCTGTTCTTCAGATCTCATCATGTCTCCTGTGCATTGTTTATGCTGGACTTTCCACAACATAATCTCCTGAAGTTTGAATGGTTTTGAATACGTTGAAGTAAGTGGAAGGACTAAAAAAAAAAAAAAAAGGTACTGCTAATGACACCCACAGCAGTAAAAATAGCACAAAGAAGTAGTTGGATACATCTTTCCCTTTGCAAAAAAAACCTATATGGGTTTTAGTTAGGAAAGTCTGACTTCAAAGGGGGGCGTCCTTATAGTGGGCGTTCGTCTCAATGTCAGTGAAGATTAGATGGTCTTGAATTCCTTAGGAGCCTAGGAAAATGGGGAAGTTAAGTATCTTACTTCTGCTAAACCTGATACTGTTAATTTACCTACTGAAACATTATTTACAACTTCAGATGAACTTAAGGAAGGAAAGAGAAGTGACAACAACAATAGTCGTCACATCCTGTGTGACAACCAATCAAAAATCACATTCAGCTGTTCTGAAGGCGACCATGTGCAGAGAGGAACCCTGAGAGACAGTGAGCAGGGGTATGAATCACCCAGATGGACACCACAGTTGCTTCATGTGGTGAAGACACTGAGAACTTTACCATAGCTTAACTGCTACTAGGCGTTTGTGTTATTCTGTTTACAATGGGATTTTGTGTATGCTTGTTTTGTCAATAAACACTTATACTTATACTTATGTTTATTTAAGGTACATCACAAAATAAAAAATTAATAAAAAAATGGTGGGAGAATAATATTAATAAAGATATGAATAAAATATAGTGGGATTGGGAAGCATTCCCACTCAATAAAATAAAAAAAATAAAAAAGATTTATTTGAAGTGAACATGTGGTACAGATATGCAAAATATCTAGCAAAAATGTAGAATCAGTCTAACTTCTATGTCTGTACTAGGAATTCCCTAACCATAACAAACCTGTACGTGTTTCTGTAGCTGTACCTGAATGACAGCAGACTGATAATAGGGCCTTAGTGACTTTAATCCTAACTGTTGTAACTTTCCAGACCAGTGTGACAAATTTAACCTCTGCAGTTAGTCTTATTCCTTTGTTGAGCCACTCCAGAGTGAAAGAAACTAGCAAACAGAGTCAGACCCGACTTATATAGATAGTTCCTCGTGAGGTACCAGATGAGTATAAACTAGTAAATCAAGTTGCTGCAGGCTTTGAGTCTCTCGTCTGTCCTTGGTGTACAATGAACAAAAATCTAGATCAAATCAGAATCAACTACATCCATTTCAACGTTCAAAAGCTAGGTAATTGGACTGAGGCTGGTTTTCAGGCTGGTCACTAGCAGTTATCTGCAACATCCCTGATGGCTTTCCAAAACCATATAGCCCTGGACATGCTGCTCGCAGAAACAGGAGGTGTATGTGCCATGTTTGGAGAAACGTGTTGCACGTTCATTCCTGATAACACTGCTGCTGATGGCAGCCTCCCTTGAGCCATAGAGGGCCTTAAAACGCTTAATGGCAAAATGAAAGACCACTCAGGAATAGATAACTCCTTTTGGGACGATTGGATGAATGTCTTTGGAAAATACAGAAATCTTGTATATTCAGTCCTAATCTCTGTTGCTGTTTTTGCAGCTATTTTGACCTAGTGTGGATGTTGTTGTATTCCCTGTATTCATTCTCTTCTTAACCGTCTTATCACCACAGCATTGTCCCCTGTGGAGCAGCAGATGCAGGAGTTGTACCCGCTGATCCATCAGCAGGACGAGGAGGACAGACTTGATGACACTCAATGGCCTGACCTGTGCCCCAATCCGGATGATGAGTATAATTCTGATTAAAGCAACATCTTGTACCTCCGTGTGTAAATTCTTTGTAGTCATAAACATGAACTCGCAGCTGAAAATCGAGAGAAGTGGCTGAACTAGAGGGATTATGAGAATTTGAGCAAAGTAATGATAAACAGGAGGGAAATGTTAGAATAATGTGCATAAATGTATATAGAAGTTATCATTTTTACTCATATTCTTATCTAAGCGTTTATACTACAAGTATAAACTGCTTTGACCTCTTTTTATACATTATATTAGAGTATTTTTATCATATAAGAGTGTTTCCTAACTTCTCTCTCCAATAGATTTACTACACAGACATCAATGTTTCTTTCAGTTTTCTGTGACCTTGTTTGTTCTATCAGCAGGTGTTGGTGATGTATCCTCTGCTGATGAATCGTGGGAAGTTTCGAGAAGGATCCGCTTTTATCGGAAGGAGCTCGTTAGATGCCGCTTTGACCTTCAAATAGTCACAATTGTTCATTATTATGTTCTATGAAAATGCTTACTTTTCTGCACACATTTTCCCCTCCCTTAGAAACATTGTGTAACCAGGGACAACCCTAAATAAAAGAGGCCGGACAGAAAAAGATTTCTTAGAGTGGTATTGAGATAGAAAAAAAGATCTCTGTCCATTCTCCTCGAACATAATCCATTGTCTTTCTCCTTTTTTTTAATATGTTTTCAGGTATTTGGGCAGGTTTTAGACCCGACAAATACCCAGCCTAATAGGATACCCTTGGTGTCGTCTAGACTTGACCAAAGCATTTAAAAATGTGCAGCGTCATGAAACTAGGGGACCACCTTAAGGATAATAAAAAGAGAGAAGACGACAAGATACACTTTAGAGTAGTAGGAGATTATAATTGAACAATGTCTGTCCGTTGTCCTCATGAGTAAGAAATCTAATACCATTGTATTTCTCTTCTTTTTGTTTGAGTCATTTGTTGCAGGTTTAGACCCAAAACACACACACACACACACACACACACACACACACACACACACAAACACACACACACACACACACATGACCTGAAACAGCTGCTTGTCTTATCTAAAAAAGTACAGTCATGTAACATAAGACCAATTAAATTATCGTATCAAATCATCATGCTATCTGTTTGATTTGTACCTGAGAGTCAGATTCGCTCTGAAGATCAATTGCAGCTGTCTAACTGCCCAAGTGAGCAAAGTACAATCAAAACGTGAAAAGATTTCACAATCATCAACAAGTTTTCTGTGACAGAGTTGGAATTAGGGCTCCACATACTGTTAAACTAAGCTATGTCAGACGAAGATAACATTTCAGCTCACATCTTATACATCTTTAGCCCATCAAATCCCCATTAGGAACACTGTGAGCAGCCATTAAAGGCTGAAAAGGGGAAACATAACTGGCTCCCATCATAAAACTCATTAGCTCATCAACTCTCCATTTAAGGTTCTGTTAGTTCAGTCCCTTTAAGTTGAAGGTGTATTAGGACAGAGAAAAGCAATCATTACAGGGGGAGAAGGCATTTAAGAGGAGAAATGTTAATGCACGTCTTTGAGTTCTGCAGAGACTTGTGTGCTGTGCATGGACTGAGTTAAAGTATATGCTATGTTTACATCACTGAATACACAGTGGTTGCAGAAAAACACTGAAAGCTTATGGAGACACAAAGAAGGGCTTTATAAATTTGGAACAGTAATTACAAAAATGTCCTTTTGTGCAAAGATTTTAAGAAACCAAGACATCTATAAAAATTACAATATGTCATTTTGAGATTGAGGCCTCATACACACCAAGGCTACCCCACCATCCACCCCCCATCCCCATTATTTTCTTTCTTTGAATTTACATGCACACATCATCCTTTTTAACCTCTAGTTCCTGTCAATATTAAGCTCCATCCAGCCTACTTTGTCACTAAAACGGACACTCAGATAAGTGTTCATAAAATAATGATTTTTAAATCATTTTTTTTTAATTTTGACTCAAATCTCTCAAACAACTTCAGCCAAAACCATTAAAAAATGATGAATAAAAGATTCAATGTATCACGCTTTTTATGCCAGTTATTGTGCACCATGTCATAAGACTTGGATTCATAGAGGAAGCGTGCGTTCTAAACACGAGTTGATTGGAGCGGAAAAACACGCCAATTTCATCTTCTTTTCTCAGGCCTCGTTCTCTACCAAATCAAATGCAACTGAATTCATTTGTTCATATTAAATTGATGTTATATATAGGCATATAAAATCAGAAGATAAATGTAAACTAGGAATCACTTACAAGTGCTTATCCACCTCGAACCAAAATATGACCATGGTTATGCTGATTTATAACTGTATATTTGAGATGTGATATATTCTCATCTAATGATCCGTGGACCTGTGTCCACCTGGACACCATCGATGGTCACAGGCTGGTGAAGGGGCCTGGGCCTCCTGAAGTCAACCACTATC